CACGTCACTCTTTACCCTCCCTTGACCCCCCGCACTCAACTACGACGCCATCGACACCTGAGGTCCATGGCACTGGTGCCCGCTGGCCCACCCCCCCTCACCACAAAGGACGTCACTCTGTGCTTCCAGATAATCACCGTGTTGTGACAACCACATTATTATTTGGGTTTAAAGGGTTCGTCTCTTTGACTAAACTACAACTTGGCCGAATATAAAACTTTCGAAGAACGAGTGGCTTAGAAACCAATTAGGGAATCCTTTAACAGATTTTGGATCTCCCAAAATGTTGTACATATATATTATATATATATATAAATTAATATAATTTTATAAATATATATAAATATATATATATTTATAATATACAATATGTATGTTTTTAATGTTTGTTTCCCAACGCAAGGGAAATTTTGGGGATTACCAAAAAATATATATATTTAAGCGTGAAAATTGCGAGAACCATGTAAACTTGGAGACAGTTATTCCTCAAGCTTTGATTCTGAAAAGAAATTCGTATCAACTCTGATTTTTTAAAAAGACCAAGTCAGTGGTCGTGAGTATTTATGTGTGTGTGTGTGTGTGTGTGTGTGTGTGTGTGTGTGTGTGTGTGGTGTGTGTGTATGTACTTTTAGAATAGAGAACAGTGCAAAGGTAAAGAACAAACGCCACACTCTGTTGGGAAATCAGGAGCAGAGTAAGTCATGAGAAAAGTTTACGGTTGTTACGTCTAGGAATGTTGACAGTGGGCCCAGCTCATGTTAGGAAAGTCCTACAAGTCAAAAGTGAAACTCTGACTTGAGAAGTAGACTTTGGAACACCAGTGATTGATGCAACCTGCCTCGAAGATACTTCCACCGTACTGAAACTTGTTTATGTCGCCTCAGACAACTGTTGCAACTAGTTGAATGTTGTAAAACGAGTGTGTTTTCCCAGTCTCTACCATGCTATTCCTGAGTGCCCCGACGGCTTGCTATTTAGGATCGCTTCAAAATTAAAATGAAAAATGTAAGATTAGCAAAGGAGGCATCAGAAAGTAACACATAGTACACGAAAAGAGAGCCAGGAGAGCTAACCCCTACTCGGAGGCTATCTGCTGAAAAGGACAAAGTACAGTCTACCTCTACTTCTTCTTAGGTAGTTGAGGCAAGGATAATGTAGAAAAAGGCTCTCTCCCTGTGCTCCACTTTCTCCAGCCACACTGCCGGCATGAGCAGCTGGGTAAGAGGCATCATGCCGCAGTGAACAGTGCACATCTACAGCATATCCATCCCACTGATGATAACATCAAGTGGGCAGTGCTGGACTAATTTTATGAGACACTACTTCGTTCATCTTCCAAACGTGTCATCCATAGGTATGACCAAGCCACGAGATTTGACGTCATTATATGTCACTCAGAGAACCCACAAACAATCACTTCGTAAGTTCAGAAGACCCGACACAATCATTTCGCTTGTCAGGGTGACCCATTGTAAAATATTTACGTCGCTTGTTGAAGGGACATGACATCCAGTCATTCCATCGGTTCACGGAGCGAGACACAATCGTTTTACCAATTTAAACGACCTTATGTACAATCAATTCTCCCGTTCAGGGGACCAGACATACAATCATTTCATCTATTTAGTGAATCTAACATACAATCATTTCACTTGTTCAGGGAACATGAAGTACAATCAGCGTCATTGCAACTGCGAACTCCATACCAGAATTTACTGGTGTTCTCACGTTCATGAACACTAGATTGTGTTCTCACGTTCATGAACACTAGATTGTGTTCTCACGTTCAGAAACTAATTCAAAACTAAGCATCCCTAACGTTCATCTTCGTTCATTTTTTTCATTATTAATGTTAGTGGTTATATCCACACGCGCGCACGCATACAATGTCCATTTTTATCGCAAATTGCAATTTTAAATACGGACAAATGGCCTTTGTGGCGAGTAAACGGCGAGTTAGTGGGGTGAGGGCTCAGTGGCGAGTTGGGGGAAGGGGGCGAGAAAAGGGCGGTGCAGGGGGGGTGCAGTGAAGTACAGCGGCGAGGCAATGGCGAGTACAGCGGCGATGCATGGGGAGTACAGGGCGTGCAAAGGCGGGGTACAGCGGGATACTGGGGGGGGCAGCACGGCGATACAAT